TAGATCGATAGATCGATAGATAGATAGATAGATAGATAGGATGGATAGATAGATAGATAGATAGATACATAGATAGATAGATAGATAGATAGATAATCCCCCTGCAGTTTCCATGGGGAACTCATGAGCTTCCATTTTATAGAGGGTACCTAGGTGGTCTCTATAGAATCGACTTTCTATATGAAAAGTGGTAGGTTTATGCTCTATAAAATCAAACCCTATGTGGTCTAGAACCCCAAAATAAGAAGATTTACTATAAAATTGGGGACATGAGTTACCAACTTCCATAGTATGAATTTCAGTTAAGTTGCCAACTTTTGGCTCTATAAACTCATGGACCCGATTTTGGGCTTGCAAAAGGTGCTTTTTTGGAGGTGTTGTTGAGGATCCCAAATTTGACCTGGTTTTGGAATTTAATGATTTTATAGTGGAATGATAGGGACCTACTAATCTCAAGACAAACTACCAGGACCCCTTTTTCATTGATTTTATAGACAGCCATTCCCCCCCCACGCTCACCCCTCCTTCTTTCCAGACCAGAACATTTAAGTTGACAGAAATAAGTCAATGTCGCCTCTGCCATTCTTTGTGGCAACTCCATTTTTTCACATTTCTCTTCACTTGAACGATTTTTGAACAGAAAACAACCTTCCTTTCTTTTGACGCTTCAAACATCTACATCAAAATGACCTTGAAACATCTGAGATAATTTTAGACTGAAATTGATCCCCTTGTGAATTTCAAGGGTCTCCCGCCATTCTATCGAGGTACCTGGGTCCAACTATAACAATGGTACATTCTGAGAATCTCTCTAGAATCAAGACACAATCAGATTGCAAGAAATACAACTCTATAAAATCAAGAAGCAAAAGGCACCACATGGCTACAAATGCCTGTTTTGTAACCAGGGTCACATTTGGAATCATTTGGATACGTTTTTTTCCTTTAAGGTCATTCACCTGGTCCACTATAAAATCAGGATCTCCAAAATGGTGGTTTCACAAATACTACTGAAACATGTGGGCCCTTAATATTGGGTACCTGGTCTCTGATTTTATAGTGGGGCTGTTTCAAAGGCATGTTGATACAATCTGGACCTGGGTCCTTGGTTTTATAGAGAAACTTCTTTTGGACGGTTGTGGCTTGGGATGCCATCAATTTCCATAGTTTGCTGACTCAGGTTCAATCCAAAAAGAAATAAGAACAAAAAAATGAAAAACACATCACATACCCGAAAAAATGGAAAACAATCGCCATTTCGGGACACTTTTTGGCACCCGGATTGTTGAAACAAAACCTCCCGATACAATCGAAAAAAAAATCTTTATTTGGGGGCCCTTCAAACCTGAATTTTCCATTTTGGAGTACTGCTGCGCCTCACAATATATGGAAAGGCCTCAAAATGTTTGAGGCATGTAATGACCAAATTTTGAAGTTTGGAGGGCATGGAGGGGGGAAGCATATGGGCAGAACCTAGTTTTTGAAACTTGTCGATGTTCTAAAGACAACGGTTCATATTGAAGCCGAGTACATCCACTAAGTACCCCCGCTTCCCAATTTCAAGCAGTGGAACGTCACCACTTGCAATGTTGAAGCAAAACCTCTATAAAATCGACAAAGTAGTCTCTACTTGGGGGTCCTTCAAACCTGACTTGTCCATGTTGGAGTCCTGCTGCGCCTCACAATATGGAAAGGGGCCAAGGATGTTCGAGGCAGGCACTTACCAAAGTTTGGAGTTTAGCTGCAACTTTTTGATTTTATAGACAGAATGGGTTCATACTGGGGCCTTTCCATATATTGTGAGGCGCAGCAGTACTCCAAAATGGAAAACTCAGGTTTGAAGGCCGCAAATAAAGAGTATTTTTTGGATTTTATCGAGAGGTTTTGCTTCAACACTGTGCGTGTTGACGTTGCCTTTTCACAGCTTTGAAATTGGAACGTGGGGGTACTTAGTGGATGTACTCGGCCTCAGTATGGACCCATTCTCTCTATAAAATCAAAAAGTTGCAGCTAAACTCCAAAATTTGGTCAGCGCCTGCGTGAAACATCCTTTGCCCCTTTCCCCAAATAGAGACTAATTTGTCGATTTTACAGAGAGGTTTTGCTTCAACATTGCGCGTGGTGACGTTGCCTTTGCACGGGTGATTCGGAAATTCGGAAATCAGTGGGGATACCTATATATAGTGAATGTATTCGGCGTTAATATGCTATAAACTCAAAAAGTTGCAGAAACTGGATTCTGCCCATATGTTACCCGCCTTCCTGCCCACGAAATTCCCCATTTTGGAATACTTCTGCACCTCAATATATGGAAAGGTTTGAAGATGTTTCAGGTATGTAATGACCCAATTTTGGAGTTTAGAGGGCAGGGCAGCGGGAAACATTTGGGCAGAGCCCAGCTTTTGGACTTATTTGATGTTCTAGAGACAATGGGTCCAAAGGCACAACCTTGAAAAAACAAGAGCAATGAGCAACTTTGAAACTCTGTTCTGTGGGAAGGGCTCCGAAGAGGTATTTGAAAGAATCTGAAACCAGTCTGAAGGCTCCTCTATCTATCCATCTGTCTATCTCTCTCTCTCTATAATATTTATTTATCGATTATATCTATCTCACTATCTCTAAGACGTGGATCCACTGCTGCCTGAAACCTCAACAACAATCACATTAGTGAGCTGCTACATTGGCAGCCACTCAGACCCATTGCCCTTGTGCCTTGATAAAAATATTAACGGGATGCGGCGATCGGTTACAACACCAAATTCATCTCAAAAACCTCCCCTCTATAAAATCAGGATCAGTGGGCCCACAAATCAGAACATTGCCGCAAAAATAGCCCCTCTATAAAGGTCTGGTACCTGAGTCCGCCTGAATTGGTTATAAGTCACATGTTAGGTTACAAATGGCTTGCGGATGGCCTTCCATAAAATCCGAATCTTATTTTTTGTTATTGTTTGGACACTTTGTGCACAGACCTTAAACTTAGCTACATGCTACATTAAATGGTCATTTTAAACAACCTGTGGGTATCACCATTTTAGTGAGGAAAATGATTCTTGCATCGCGCATATTCAGACCCTTTCCTCATGGGCCTCCAAAACTGCAGTTGCAGGAACGTGCGTTGAGGTGTTGATTGATGAGATTGATGACCACAGTTGATGCTCTATAAAATCGAGAAATAATCAAATATTATATAATACAAATGGACATCATAATGCCAGGTTCTCCCTCTATAAAATCGAAAAAACAAAAAAATCTCACAAGATGAGCCTCCCCCCAAAAAAACAACTGAATACAAAATACCCTCTCTATAAAATGGGTTCCCAACCTCTATGGGCTATGTCACAGAAAAATAGCCAAATAAAATTTAGCTCTTAACCGGTACCTAGGTACCGCCATTTTATAGAGGAAAATGGCAGGAGGATGATAGATAGATAGATAGATAGATAGATAGATAGATAGATAGATAGATAGATAGATAGATAGATAGATAGATAGATAGATAGATAGATAGATAGATGGCTAGACAGATAGATAGATAGATGGATAGATAGGTAGATAGATAGATAGATGGATAGATAGGTAGATAGATAGATAGATAGAGAGGAGAGAGAGAGATATAGATAGATAGATAGACAGACAGATAGATCGATCGATCGATGGATCGATGGATCGATCGATCGATAGATAGATAGATAGAGAGATTTTTTTTTTATCGATAGATAGATGGAGAGAGAGATAGACAGACAGACAGACAGACAGATAGATTGATAGATAGATAGATCGATCGATAGATAGATAGATAGCTATATAGATAGATAGGTAGATAGATAGATAGATAGATAGGGAGATAGATAGACAGACAGACAGACAGATAGATAAATAGACAGATAGATCAGTAGGTAGGTAGGTAGATAATCAGAGAAAGATAGAGAAACAGAGAGAAAAAGAGAGAAAGAGAGAAAGAGAGAGAGATCAAGCACCTTTCAGTCCATCAGTGGCTTCGCTCTGCCATCCCTGATTCACAACAACCAAGCTCTCCTATAGGCTTCCTATTTTTGAAACTTCCGCCACCGCCTTGTGCGGTACTACTGGTATGGGTTTGTTCTTGAAAATTTGGCACGTCAAAATCTGATGGTTTTATCATAATGTTCACTATTCAGAATGTCATTTTATGGAGATCTCCAACTTTTGGAATAAACCCACATCACTTTAGCACGCGGAAGTTTGCTTTGCATGTGCGCCAAGCCTGTGGGTCTTTGCTCACAAGCGCCACATCCTCCTTCTGCCAACAGGTCGTATCGAGAATAGATAGCTTCACTTCGCCAAGCACCTCAACATAAGAAAAACGCAACAAGCTGTGTGGCCAAGAAGGCTTTCACCAAATCCGCACATTTTCTTCAAACACGGTCAAGTCATGTTTCTACCTGCGAAACCTGACAAAAATCCTGGCCATTTCGGGCCACCTTCTCGTGCCAGCCAAATTGGATGACACAATTTGGTTGGTGCACGGCATTGCACGGCCATGCCAGGCTTTGCCAACTGAAAATTCTGTACCCAAGCCGCTAGGCGGCTATGGCCACTATGCGTCAAGAAATCGCTGAGGCCAGCACTTCATGACCAATGGCATATGGATAGTATTCGTAGTGTCCGAAAGCCGTGCACTGCAAATGAATGGACCTACGGACTTCATGCGAAGTAGCGAAGTCCAAGGTCTTGATGAATTCCTCTGACTCTGACAGGTCCAGCAGCACAATGCCTGCATGGAACAACAACAAGAAGGAAAAAACCATGAAACATGAATGATAGGATGTAAGATGTGCGATGTGTGTATACGATTGAATCATTGAATATGTGACAATACGCCCGACCATGCTCCTGCTCATGCCAGAAGATCTCAAAATCATCCAAAATACCAGAAATGAAACCAAACCTGGAATTCAAAACATGGCCACATGGCCACTGCGCCTGTGGAGATATCCATGTTGAAGGCATGAATTCCGTCAATTGTACCATCTCCTGTGAAAATATCAAACCCAAAGTTTCCCTCTCCGGGAGCAAAGGATCCTCCAGGAATGGATGGCTGACAAGCGATAGAAAAGCGGAAGGGCGCCAGGCGATTCTCCATTGGAACCTCATGCTGAAATACTGCTGATGGCGTGATGGCAAAAGATCTGTTGTGTTATTTCGATTCCACACCGGCCAAAGAAATTCCACAAAAACTAGCAGGGGCAGTGCATGTCAAGAGACTTCCTTGGGTGCCAGAGCTGGCGCAACATGACCCACAGTTGCACTGGCTGATCCATACTGCATACCCTTCCACTGGAATGGCGCTAAAAATTGCACAGCCCCAGTGAGGTCGTCGCAGCATCCCCACCATCTGCGATCATCTCTGCGCCCGAAGCGTCGCTCCCTCCGGGCTGTGCGGCGATCCATTTCGGGTTCAGGTACAGGATCCACATGTGAAGGCGGAGGTGCAGGGGCATGCGAAGGTGCAGGGGCATGTGAAGGGGGGGCAGGGGCAGGTGTCGGAGAATGGGCAGATTTGGATGGAGACGGTGCAGGAGTTGGGGCGGCAGTTGTAGGAGCAGCTGTTGTTGGTTGCTCCTCCCCCCTTCGCTCTCGTTTGTTGCGATCACGAAATCTGCCCCTGCTCCTGCCAAACGGTCTACCATCATCTTCATCGCTGTCACTTTGCAGCAGCAGAGTTGCATTTGTGCCATTGGAAGTTGAAGAGTAGGGATGTCCCTCACGGTATGCCCTTCCTGACAGGAAGCACTTGTGATTGGATGTGGTTGTTGAATCATCTGGGCGAACAGTCTTCACGTCCAAATCTCCTGTGTGCTTATCCAAAGAAATCCAGTCAGAGATTGGCTTGGGTGGAGAGCACTGGATTGCAACCCACTTGAGATCACAATGATGGGGCAAATTGGACACAAGCTCATAGGATGTGTGATCATCCTCTTTTGGAACCAAGACTGGGTATTTGTAGGCAATTTCGTTGCTCACAAAAGAGGCCACTGCCGTAGTAGTGAGACCACCAGGCTGCTCTGAGGTGATTGTGCATTGAAATTCAAAATGGGACTCAGTGTACCTTTCCCCCAGATAGTCCGCTGTCAGGTACAGGTCACCGTTGCTTCGAATGGCAAGGCCTTAGCGCCCGAGCGCATGACAATCCATCAGGGCCTTTATCTCATTTGGAGCACCCAGACTACATACAGTTAACTGAGATTCAGGCCCACTTCGTCCAACTTGTGTTGGCACGCCTCACTCACTGTGTAAGTTCCTTTTGTTCGCGGCGATGGATATCCTTTTACTTTGGTCGCGCCGCGGACCAAAGATTCCACCACATACTTGAACTCCGTGGCTTTGCGTTCCCCGCCTAAGCAACTTCGACGAAAACTCAACCGGTAGACACTTTTTGCACATCTGAAAAGTAATCTTAAACTGTCCCAGTCTTGCCTCCACACTTGCAACACGCAGTTCGCGCAGCGTCCTGCGCGTTTTCAGAAATAACAAGAGAAGGAAAATATCTGTTAGCACGGCTAATATCAGGAACTACGCGTACAGTCACTATCCCCAGCAGTAATTTTGAACCGCCTTTTCTCTTTGCATCCGATGTTGCAGCTCTTGGGACACATCCTTGCACCGAGGATTTTTCATGTAGACGAGATGATTAAAGGAATGGATATATAATCCCACCTAGAAGTAGTGCCCCGGCAAGCCGGGGGCGGAAGTTCCAAAATTGAAACGCATAAAACCTATACAACCGAACAAACGCTGTGCCTATAGGGTGCGGGCAAGCCTTCTGTGCTTCGCAGCAACAATCTCTTGACATTCATTCCGCCGCCACCTCTTTCGCAGTTTATCTTGGATATTCTTCTTTGCATCCCATTGTCACTGCAGTCTGCGTCTCATCTCATCTCATCTCACGTGGTGTCTTTTCAGCGTCTTGCACCTCATCTCATGTCTTCTCTCCTTTTCTCAATTCTTCCCTGCTGATCACAATTGTTATCAATTGTTCTCATGTCATCTGAGCTTGTCTCATCTCTTCTCAGTTCATCTGAATTATCTTTTCAGATCTTCTCAGCTTCTCCATTCTACGCAGTTTGTCTCAACTCAGCTCTTCACCACTCTTCTCATGTCAGATCGTCTCAACGCACCCCACCTCATCTCAGCTTATATCACCTCTTCTCAGAGTTTCTCATCTCTTCTCTCCTCTTCTCACATCTTCTCAGCTCTTCTCACATTTTCTCAAATGATCTCTGCTCTTCTTGCTCCTGTCAGCTCTCCTCACCTCATCTCAGCTCACTCTCAGATCATCTCAGCTCTTCTCTGGCCCAAAACATGCTCCAAAACCGGATCCCGGTGCCAAAGCCACAAAAAGTACGATTTTGCATGAAGCCTCTTTTACATGCAAATCTAAAAGGAAAATACAAAGCGTCCAAAAAAAGTATCATGAAGAACTCATCGGCGCAACTTTAGCGAAACAATTCCAGTGCGATTTGCAAGCAGCAAGTTGCACAAGACCATGGAACTACGTGCGGCACAGCAACGCAGAACAAAGTTGACACAGCCACTCCAATGCGACTTGCAAACACCGAGTTGCAAAGGACCATGGAACTAACGTGCGCAGCAGCAAGATAGGGCAGCAATGACGCAGCCACTCCAATACGATTTTCAAGCAGCAAGGTGCACAAGACCGTAGAACGATGTGCGCACCAGCTACGCAGAGCAACTGTGACGCAGCCACTCGACTGCAATTTGCAAGCACCAGGTTGCAAAAGCCAGTAGAATTACATTTCAAGACAGATATTTCTCCTGGCCAGAACCTGCTCGAAAACCGGATCTCGGTGCCGAAACCGAAAAAAACTACGATTTAGATTTTTTTCGAAAACGAATGTAGAAGAAAAATGAAAACACCAAAGATGGGAAAATTCAGCCAAAACTAATTGCCGCAACCTTGTTGCAATTGATCTGCAACTTCAAGTTGTGAAAACAAAGCTTTCGTGCGAGACTTCCGTCAAAAGCTGAAAATTGAAGATGTGAAAACGAAACTTTCGTGCGATACTTCCCTCGAAAAATGAAAAGTTGAAGATGTGGAAACGAAACTTTCGTGCGATACTACCCTCGAAAAATGAAAAAGTTGAAGATGTGGAAACGAAGCTTCCGTGTGAGACTTTCCTCAAAAACTGACAGTTGAAGATGTGAAGCCAAGCTTTCGTGCTAGACTTCCTTCAAAAACGATAACTTAAAGTTGGCAACACGACGCCTGAAGTGGCATTTACAGTGCGCAGCCTATCCGAGCATGATCCGAGGACACCTGGCACCGTTTCGAAACCATCACGCGGCAGGCCTTCCCCATCCATCTTCCGAGGCACGTTTTGTGCGGCAAAACACAGCATTTCACGCATCCGCTACCTCTCAAAAACTTATTCCGTGCGAGACCTCCCTCAAAAACTGAAAGCGGAAGATGTGAAAACACAGCTTTCGTGCGAAACTTCCGTGAAAAACTGACAAGTTGAAGATGTGAAAACGAAGCTTTCATCAAAAAGACTTTCCCCAAGAAAAACTGAAATTTGAAGATGTGAAAACGAGCCCCCAAACTGTAAGTTGAGCTCATCCCAGCTCATTCTCATCTCACCCTGGTCTCAGGTCGCTCTCATCTCAACTCACCCTGAGATCACCTCGCTCTCATCACAACTCACTCGCAAATCCACTCACTCTGAGATCATCTCACCCTCATCTCAACTCACCCTCATCTGAACTCACTCTGAAATCATCTTGCTCTCATCTCAAATCACTCGCAAATCCACTCACTCTGGGATCATCTCACCCTCATCTCAACTCACCCTCATCTGAACCCACTCTGAGATCATCTCGCTCTCATCTCAATTCTAAAATCATCCCACCCTCATCTCAACTCACTCTCATCCCAACTCAGTTTGAGATCTTTTCACCACTATCTCAGGGCACTCTGAAATCACTTCACTCTGAAATCATCTCACTCTCATCTCAACTCACCCTCATCCCAACTCAGTTTGAGATCTTTTCCCCGCTATCTCAGGTCACTCTGAAATCATCTCATTCTGAATCATCTCACTCTCATCTCAACTCACTGTGTCACTCTCATCTCAACTCACTCTCAATTGAAATCACTCTTATCTTCACTCACTCTAGGGTCATCTGTGGTGGCGGTGGTGAAAATGGTGGTTGTGATTATGGTGGTTGTGATGGTGGTGGCTGTGATAGTGGCGACTCTGTGTCAAATTTTGTCACTCTCATCTTCACTCACTCTGAGATCACCTGTGGTGGTGCTGGTGGTGGTGGTAATGGTGGTTGTGATAGTGGTGGTTGTGATGGTGGTGGTTGTGATAGTGGTGGTTGTGATGGTGGTGGTTGTGATAGTGGTGGTTGTGATAGTGGTGGTTGTGATGGCGGTGGTTGTCATTATAGTGGTGGTTGTGATGGCGGTGGTTGTCATTATAGTGGTGGTTGTGATAGCGGCGGTTGTCATAGTGGTGGTTTTGATAGTGGTGGTTCTCTCTAACAGCAGCACCCTGCACCGGCACCAGCAGGCCACCTCGAAATCACACACGCCACTCTGACAGCAGCACCCTCAAGCGCCCTGCAGCGGCGCCGGCAAGCCAGCTACAAAGCGCACACGCCACTAACAAGAGCACCCTCAAGCAGCATGCAGCGGCACCCTGCAGCGGGCCAGGAAGCCAGCTCAAGAGCGCACCATCCGATCAGCAGCACCCTTGCAGCGGCACCCTGCAGCCGCACCAGCATACACCACCATTCTGACAGCAGCACCCTTGAGCGTCAACATCAAGCAGCACCTTGCAGCGGCACCCTAAACCAAAGCGCACACACCATGCACTTTGACAGCGGCACCAGCATGCCCGCTCCAAAGCGCACACCTCTGACAGCAGCACCCTGCAGTGGCACCCTGCAGCGGCACCACCATGCCCGCTCCACCATCACTCTGACAGCACCTGCAGCAGCACCAGCATGCCCGCTCCAAAGCACACGCCACTCTGACAGAAGCACCCTGCAGCGGCACCAGCATGCCCGCTCCAAAGCGCAGACATGCAACTCCTTCCATACTTGAGAAATACGAACCCCATGAAGTACGAACCCCGGTAGCTTGGCTATCTGGGGACAAGGGAGAATTGTAGCTGTTTTGTGGGGGTCAGGTATCCCTTAGGAGTTGGATGGAAGTCTATCGCCTACACGTCAACTCTTGCGTACATGACATAGTAGATGTTTTGTAGGAGCTCATAGAATTTGATCAACCTACATGTGAACACCACTGTAGATGATGCAGGTCATGTAGACCGTACTATGACATGTTTGTTCGCAATGCTTCTGGGCCTTCACGTGATGTTCTCAGGGCGGCTACCTACGATCCTTTGATGGAGGATTATTTTACCTACCTCCGCAGTGGAGCGATGGATACTTGTCACTTCTTGGGCGGAACGCTCTTTTGACAGCACTGCAGGTCTTTTTTCCCGAAAGCTTCTGCGAAGGGTTTTTCCCAAAGAGTTGCTGCCAACTTCAGTTTTAACATGACCTGCTTGTACTTCATCATCATCATCATCATCATCATCATCAATCTACATCACGCACATCAGACTTTAGTTTCATCATCTACATGGCATTCTGCATTTTTGGCATTGTCTACACCTACATCTACATCAACATCAACTTCAACTCATCCTCATCCTCCTCCTCCTCCTCCTCATCATCATAATCATCACCATCATCATCATCATCACCATCATCATCACCACCATCATCATGACATGCATCCAGCAGCTAGATCAGCTACAGTGCCTACATCATCTACAAAATCTTCTACATCATCTTGGTCACCTACATCATCGACATAACCACTACATCTTCAACAAATACATCATCTGCGTTGCATCACCTACACAATCTTCTTTTTACATCACAAACATCATCTACATCATTTACATCATCTAGAGAATCTTCTACACCATCTACCCGGTCTAGTTCCAGGAGCCGTCCTGTGAACAGTTTGCTTTGAAGCAGTTCTCAACCTCCGGGCCATCCTGGCACCTGCAACGAGGGGCAAAACTCGCGGAGAAAAAACGGACTTTCCATTATGCACCTCTGCTGCAAAAAATCCTAGCAACCAAACGTCATGAATCTGCAGCTGTCCTTGGCCGTGCCTGATGCAATGACCACCTTCCAGAACATATCCACCCTGACAGGACTTGCAGCTTTCCTTGGCGCCATCTTGCTCCTCACAGCCTCCACACCATGTAGAAGCAATAGAACAGCACCCAGTGACTACGATCCCAGCAGCAGTCTCTTTCTGCAACCTTGTGCCATCCGGGCACACATCGGGCACACATGAGGCATTTTCACCTTGATTGAAAAGTTGTGCTCCAAGGTGGACAAAGGTGTGGATTTCGAACATGCTTCAAAATAATCATAACGTCCCAAATTATGTGGGGCCACATTCGTAATGTCCTCGTGGACCTCTTGCCCATCTGTCTGCAGCAAAGCATTCTCTTTCCTCAGGGCTGCTCGATGACTTTGCAAGAGCGCCGCTGAATCTAAATCAGTGCAGTTGCCGCACGGCACAGAGCTGCCGGAGTACGTGTCGCCCAGGCAGAGCAAGAGGCTTAAGACCGCAAGCATTATTTTGATTCTGCAGCTATCAAAACTGATAAAAGCACTTTTCGCATGTTGTATGAACTTGAACCGAAGCTGGTGCGAAGTCATGGACATTGGTGTTGATGCTGTGCATGGTCATGAAAGCTTATGCTCAAGCAGCTCGATGAAAAAATACCGGCAGGAGACCCCAAACAGGGGGGGTAGGAAGCCAATGTAGCAGATACAAATCCGAAACTGGCAAGTAGCCAAGGGAACTGGAGATACTTGGATGGCAGACATATGTCAGCGATCTCACTGCACGGGCCATGCAGGCGTCTTTGGAATTCGGAGCGGAAATAGAACAAACATGCCGTTGGCCGATCCTTTAGTTTGGAATGGCCTCAGCAATGCACAAAGGGCGAGGAGCAGAAGGCTCATGGCGAACCTCAAGAGTGCATTCAACGCACACTCCAGGACGGTAACTTTAATCAATGCATACCCAGAAGGGGTCAACCTGTTAAGTTCAGAAGTTGGAGTAAACCCGGATGCGCAGACTTCAAATGGGTTTGAATTGATTAGACAGCTCACCATGGAATACACAGTGAGAACCCGAGTGAAGCATTGAGTTTTCGCACCGCCTTAGCCCACAAGAGTTTCAGTTTGCATGCCAGTGAGACAAGCCCCAGCACTGTTGTGACGGATACGATCCGGAAGATTGACTACGAGAATGCACGCCAGCAAGCTTTTGGGAACTTTTCCAAGTTCAATTGATGCCACTGGGCTGCAAGTTGCAGAGGCAGACATGGTTGCAGTGTTGTTGAAATCACTGCCGGAAACTGTTAGGACGTTTTGTCTGCACCATACCAGTGGGGAAACATACCAGAACTTCCGAGCTGCAGCGTTGAGATGGGAACAACAACAAAGGGCTTTTGCAGAATTCCAACCCAAGAAGCAGCTGTACCAGCCAGGGAATGAATCTGAAGGTACGAGTACGGGTGGTAACTTACGCCACAACCTATAATCTTACCCCAGCGCATGGCACACAGCTTACCCCACAACCTAAAGAACTTGTGCCATAGCCAAATCACCGCGGCACACCGACACCTATCCATATATGTGCACATTGTTCTCATGAAATTCCTATGCAGACTGCAACGCTTTGTACCGTTTTTTATCTGTCTTAAAGCTGACACAAAGCGTTGTAAACTGCATGGCACACCATCAACTTGACCTCTAATAGACCAGGAGTTCTACATGTCATTCTCATTGGCGGACTTTCATTCCTACCCTGGGAAAAGTATACTCACAACAACGCTTTCCCAGTGGCACACCAGGAACATTCCAGTACTGAACAACACAGCACAATGGCACTGAGATATTCAAGGTACCGCTTGACAGCGTGATTTTTACGAGATCCGTACCAGGTCTTACGAGATCTGTGCGAGATCGGGATTTTGCACGGCAAGGCAGCAGGGCAAGGCAGCAGGGATCTTTTCTACTCTTCCCTTCTCTGCTCTATGCCTCTCTGATCACTTCTACTCTTCAAGATCTTCAATTCGATTCTCTTCTCGACTCTACTCTTCTACTGTTCTCTCTTCTGCGTGAGTCAAGCTATTGAGAAGCCATCCCCATGAGTTCCTATCTCAACAAGAATATGTCTCAAAAACATGTGTGCCCCTGCAAAGTGTTAGAAAAATCAATGCCACAAACAATTGATTCATCCAGTAAGAATGACATGTATATCATGGACTTCCCAACGGCACACCGTTTGCGGCACAAGAAGACAACCGCGGCACAAGTTACCACCCTGACCCAGTAGGCAGAGTACTATGACATGACAGCTAGCGATGGTAATCGGGAGTGGAATTTGGATGCAGTAGGAAACTCAGGGGTGCGATGCACGAAATGCGGGAGTAGGAGAATGCAGATTTGACAAAAGTGAAATGTTTCAAGTGCCGGAAATTTGGTCATATCTCAGCCAACTGCCCAAACAAGAGTGTAAAGGGCAAGGGCGATGGGAAAGGAGTGATCAAAGGCAAAGGAAAAACAAAAGGAAAGAGCAAAGCGGAAAGAAAGGAAAATGAATGAGCTCGGTTACTGTGAGGAAACCGACGGAACTAACGAATGGTACTGTATCAAGATGATGGGTCGTGGTGGAGCGACCATGGCTGCAAGCAGCTCAGGAGCAGTGGACAAAGAGTTTGGCAAACTGATCTGCATTCATGCGTTAGGACCCAGGCTTGTTAAAATCTAGATGAAGTTATCCAGTTGTACAGCTTTACGATCGAGATTGGGACCACGGATCTGGATAAAATAGGGGCGTGTAAAGAAACTCGTTGGAAAATTCTTGCAAGGCACTTTTCTGAAACACGCTTCTGCGGCACTGCAGAGCACACGCTGGCAAGACACTTTTCCGGGACTCTCTTGAAAACATTCTTATTCAACCAAATGTGAAAAATTGGGACCGCGCGTTTGTTAGGCACACTTTTTTTTACGATTTCAAGGGGCGCTCTTTGAGGGGCCTCTAAGCCAGTGCCAGTGCATTTGGGTTCTTCACCTCCTTTGCTTGGAGCAGCTGGGAGCACTGTTGCTTGGAGCATGTGCTTTTGTACTATGATTTCCATAGGATCATCAGCCCACTGGGTTTAGGAAAAGATGCAGTGAAATAGTTGTAAGATGTTGTAAGAATCTCAGAAAAGGAGAGGTTTCATTCCACACCTTCAATCGCCCCATTTTGACATGGACTGGTCCGTTGTCCGTGTCTCTATTCCAAAACAAGGCTCGGGCTTTGAAAGTTTGAGAAATCTCCGCCGCTTGCATTCTCGGTGTGTTCCATGCACGCCTTTTTTCGATGCTCTTGACCGCAGAATTCTGTCGGAGGCATTGATCCTGTGAAGTGGAGCGGAGATGCTGCCCTAGCTTTGAGACCTGCCAAGACGGGTTCGAATGCTGCGACACTTCAAACTGTGCAGCTCTCCGCGCTGCCGCATGGCTTATATTATATAATAGTTTGTTTGCTGCCTGTTTTGGTCAGTAAAGCCTACCACGCACATTGAGACACCATCTGCAACACCTTCTGGGCCCCACGTGGATCATCCTGATTCTGCGTCTCTTCTGATCCACCACCCAGTGAATTCACGAAGAAAACTCGCCTGGTGTCCTTTTTCTAATTTCTGTTGAAAACTTCGCAAGCAGTCACCCTCACATAGACTGTGCAAAAAGTTTGCAGCTTCTGCAGCCTCTGACTGCAAGAGGGCAGGTCCCACAGAAGAAACTTTTTCCTTTTTCATGCTCTTCATCTCATTCATCTCCGAATGTATCTCCCTGATCTCCTCTTCCATTTGCTCCAACTTTTCAAGAAGCTTTGATTGAATGCTCGAGCCGGCTTCGCCCGTGTGGGGCTCAGCATGCCTGCTTTCCGACTTCTCTGCAACCAGCTTTGAATGTTCCATCTTCAAATCCATGTGGCTCATGGGGTTGGATGGCGGATTTGAAAGACAAGCTTTGACCATGGAGACCGGATTCTTCTGTAGCAGAATGTCACCCGGCTTCAGGGCAGTCAGCATGATACTGGGTTCAGTGCTGTTGGCTTTCAGAATTGTCCCGGCACAAGCACCGTTTTCTGGTGCCGGGCACAGGGCAGGACCCACAACGTCAAGGGCCCGTGCCGTGACATGCAAGGCCTCAGTGCCAAGGGCAGCATTGGAGGCGACGGCGTGCAGGGCCAGCATGGCCTGCGACACGCCAGCGCTGGAAGCTGTGCCGCCTGTGACCTGACATCAGCTGTGCCAAACGTAAAAGTGTCACCTGTGCAGTGCCACTTCGGCCACTCTGGCTTCGTTCTTGACATTTTATTTGCTAAATGCTGAGACAGAAGCGGTACTCAGGAATCTTTCAACTGCGCAAGAGAAAGACACAAACCAAACACGGACCAACCAGCCTCCAATTTCATCCTCTTCAATTCCTCTCAACTTTCAGAATTCGCAATTGAATGAGAGAAATGGGAGCAGATTGCAGCAAGCAAATCTAAAAAATGCTTGAGACATTTCTGGCAACTTGCCTTGTCATCCCGACTCATCCTGGCCCCGTCCTTCTTTTGATAAGTCCCGATCGCGTGCAGCACCAGTACTTGTGTAAGGACGTTTGACAGAACGGCATCTGTTGCCTGAACCGATTTGAAAATCCATCTTGGCAGCGGCATTCAATCTTGCAGATTCAAATCTACTGAATTCAGCAAGTGGGTCCAAGATCAAAAGCTTTGCTCCGAAATCAACAAGTGCGGGGCGTGCGGTGCCAAAGAAAAACCAAAACAAGTTCACACCAGGTCCTCTCACTATCAAACACAGTTCCCTCAGTAATTTCACTGTATGAATCTGATGGTATCTGCCTGGACGCCATGTCGATAGGCCACCTGGACCAGCGACTCAAATGCTGGACATGGCGACCTGGTTGGTTCTGGGTGGATAGCCGCAGCCGCAGCAATGTCCTGCAAAACGGGCTACACTATCTATCCGGATGGCCCAGCACAGCCTCACAGACCCGTTGCGGTCTTTGGCTACCATATAATTATGCTACCATATGCTACCATCATTTGTTTAATACTCGCTCCAAAAAAGCTTCGCAAGATGCGGTGGACATCAAGGTATCGCAACCTATCAAAATATGAAGACAGAAAGTGCATGCCTTTGTGAGGATGCAAGAATGCAGGCTACCAGCAGGACTTGAAAGACGCAACGCGCACAGTCAAACAGGGGCAGTCAAACATGCGGTGGACATGCCAGGCCATGTTAGAGATAGGGGGGTGATCCGTTGTTTCCTGCAGCAGGCCCTGATTGGTAAAGGTTTCCAAGATCTCGTTGGCAGCAGATGTCGAAGCCCACGCTTCCAGCAGGGCAGTGCCTACCTGGTCCTGCAGTCGAATAGCGCGTTGCCACTGGAGCTGCAGATCTGCCACATCCTCCATGGATGACTCAGGCGCAAAAAGTTATAAACTCAATTAAACTCAAAACATGTCATTGCTTCGTAAAAACTAAAGCAACTAAAGAACGAACGAGCCAACAGAATTCGCCCATCTTGAACTGTAAGAATGAAGACGTTCAACAACACCAAAGAACCGGAACTAAGGAAACCCATGTAACAAATGGAACATTGTCATTTACAAAGACCTGTTTTTGTATTGTACACCTTCACAGGTTTGGGTTGCTTCATCTCCATCTCGGGCCTGTCCCTGGCAATGGATGTAACCTTCTGCGGCCCGCAGGGCTTCTTTCGCAACTCGCAATGCGCGCTTCTTGCTGTCAGCAAAGACCGAATGCTTGCGATGTGCTTCCGTGAGAGCTGCATGAAGCTGATTCCAGCGGATGTAAACCAAAGAACTTTGCTCACTCTTTTCGCGCAAAGATTGACACAGAACGGCCGACCGCCTGCACAACACATTGGCTCAGGCTGGATTCCATGCCTACATCCAAACCGATCAACGTGAGATTTTGTCAACGCAGAAAAGCCACACATCCGAGAGATGAGAAAATTTGAGAGCAAAGCAACAGGCAAAGGAGATCGACCTGTCTTTGTAATTGAATGCAAAAGAAATGGGAGGCGGGGGCTGGAGAGAGAGAGAGAGGCCATGAAACAAGATAAAGCCCACGAACCCGAATGCTCACACGTATGTTAATGGTACAGATGTCAAAACACATGGTTATGCAGTCACGCACAATACCTTTCTGCAATAGTTTATGTGAACAGTCTTGTACATGTTTCCCTTGTTAGCAGTCTGCAGTGTGGAGAGGAAAGTGTAGAGTGTGGAGTGTGGAGTGTGAAGTAAGGAGTGTGGAGTGTAAAGTGTGGAGTGGGGAGTGTAGAGTGTGTAAAGTGTAGAATGCGGAGTGAAAATAAAGTGTAGAGTGTGGAGTATGGAGTGTAAAGTGTAGAGTGTGGAGTGTGGGGTGTAAAGTGTGGAGTGTAAAGTGTAGAGTGTGGAGTGTAAAGTGTGGAGTGTAAAGTGTGGAGTGAGGAGTGTAAAGTGTGGAGTGTGGAGTGTAAAGTGTGGAGTGTGGAGTGGAAAGTGTGGAGTGTGAAGTGTGGAGTGTAAAGTGTGGAGTGTAAAGTGTGGAGTGAGGAGTGTAAGTGTGGAGTGTGGAGTGTAAAGTGTGGAGTGAGGAGTGTAAAGTGTGGAGTGTAAAGTGTGAAGTGTGGAGTGTGGAGCGTAAAGTGTAGAGTGTGGAGTCTAAAGTGGAAAGTGTAGAGTGTGGTGTGTAGAGTGTGGAGTGTGGAGTGTGGAGTGTAAAGTGAGGAGTGTAAAGTGTGGAGTGTGGAGTGAGTAGTGTAAAGTATAAAGTGTGGAGTGTGAAGTGTACAGTAACGTGTGGAGTGTGGTGTGCGGAGTGTGGAGTGGAAAGTGTAGAGTGTGGAGTGTGGAGTGTAAAGTGGGGAGTGTGGAGTGTAGAGTGTGGAGTTTGGAGTGTAAAGTGTGGAGTGTGGAGTGAGGAGTGTAAAGTGTGGAGTGCGAAATGTGGAGTGGAAAGTGTAGAGTGTGGTGTGTAGAATGGAGTGTGGAGTGTAAAATGTAAAGTGTGGAGTGTAGAGTGTAAAGTGTAGAGTGTGGAGTGTAGAGTGTAAAGTGTGGAGTGTAAAGTGTAGAGTGTGGAGTGTAGAGTGTAAAGTGACGATTGTAAAGTGTGGAGTGAGGAGTGTAAAGTGTGGAGTGTAAATTGTGGAGTGTGGAGTGGAAAGTGTGGAATGTGAAGTGGGGAGTGTAAAGTAAGGAGTGTGCAGTGTAAAGTGTGGAGTGTGGAGTGTAAAGTGTAGAGTGTGGAGTGTGGAGTGTAAAGTGTAGAGTGAGGAGTGCGGAACTTCACCCATAGACACGGCGACGCCACAGGAAAACCAGAGACTCGAGACGAGACACGTGGGTGCAAAAAAACGAGCATTTCGTGCGAGACTTCCTTCAATTTTGATATTTTCCACACGTTATCAAACAGGTTGGAATGTCACAAAGTGCCACGCCTGCCACGCAAAACGACATGACAACCTGCTTGGACACATTCGAATAGGAGATGTTTTCAGCTTTCCCCATAGACACGGCGACGCCACAGGAAAACCAGCGACTCGAGACAAGACGCGTGGATGCAGAAAAACCAGCATTTCATACGAGACTTCCTCCAATTTTGACATTTTCGACACATTATCAAACAGGTTGGAATGTCACAAAGTGCCACGCCTGCCACGCAAAACGACATGACAACCTGCGTGGAAACATTCGAAAAGGAGAGGTTTTGCGGCTTCCCCCATAGACACGGCGAAACCAAGGAAAACCAGAGACTCGAGACGAGACACGCGGATGCAGAAAAACCAGCATTTCGTACGAGACGTCCTCCAATTTTCACAGTTGGCAACATGACAAAAGGACAAGTTTTGCAGCTTCCCCCATAGACACGGCGAGGCCCCGGGAAAACCAGAGACGCGAGACGAGACAGGTGGGAGCACCAAAACGAGCATTTCGTGCGAGACTTCCTCCAAATTTCACACTTTGTAGCTTCAAAATCGACGTTTTCCTACGAGTTTTCCTTAGAACCCGAAAATTGGCAACATCAAAATCGATGTTTCGTGCGAGGCTTCCGTCAATTTTCAGCACATCGCACAAATGCCACGCCTGCCACGGAATTTGCACCTTGTCGCCACTTGACACAGCCCTGCCAATGCGATTTGCAAAAAACACGCAACGCGACACGTCTAAAGTGCTGCGCCTGCCACGAAAAATGACGATGGACACGCCCAAAGTGCTGCGCCTGCCACGAAAACTGCAACACATCTTCTGAAAACGTCGCAAAAGTATTGCGCCTGCCACGCAAAACGACTTTCGACACGTTGCAGAACACGTCTGAATGTCACGAAGTGCCACGCCTGCCACGCGAAACGAAGCAACCAGACGTCTGAAACCTCCAAAAAGGACCACCTCTGCAAAACTTCCCATAGGCACGGCCATACGGGGATCGCGCGAACGGTTGCGCTCGCGAACGCAACGTCGAGCGAACACACCCTCAACCCCCAGACCCCCAGAGTGAAACGGAAACCCTTGCTACGCATTCGGGAAAAACAAAGGTTCTCACAGGGTTTGCGCCTCAAAGGACCAGAAGTAGGGATGATGACATGCGCAAGCACTGAGACTGTCGATGGCGCTGATTGTGAAAAGTAGAAGGAGGAGATTATAATGATGTCAAGGAAAATGATGTGGATGATGACCATTGGTGTTGTGATTATGGCGCAGACGATGACGTCGACAATCGTTGACCATGACGCTGCCCAATAGACCGAATTAGACAAAAAACTACAAAATAGATAGATCGTAAAAATCTATAGATTTCTATCTATTAGACAATTTCGATTTTATCTATTATCTTATTTTTTCTTGCAAATAGATTATTTTTTTAACTATTATAGATAAATCTGTGTTTTTTGTCTATATAGAGAGTTTTTTTAATCTATATAGAGAAAAATCTTGAAAATAGATTAAGCTAAATTTTGTCTATTTTGTTGATCTTTCATGGTTTTGACCGTGCCAAAATTCAACCGTTACCTTCGAAGTTTGCTCGTGATTCGTTCGAAGTTTAACTTCGAAGTTTATACGTAGTTTATTCGAAGTTTTTACTTTGGAATCATTTTTGTCAGTTTTTCTCAGACTAAAAACTTTCAAAACAATGAAACACACATGGTTATGTTGTATATGTGAACTTGTTCGATCTGTGTGCTTGCATACATGGCATTTGAACTTTTGCTGTGGCATATCTTTGGGTGGATTCATTCTGCCACAATCGAAGGTTTCACCTTCGCAAGAGGTTACTGTCACAGTAACCCTGCACTGCACAAGGAAGGTCTTGGAAGGTATTCCCCCACAATATTTTTTTAAAGATATTCCGTTATACAGAATCTCTGGGAAAACTCCTTCACACAAGTATCTCTGAAACTTTTCCCTCACAGTGAAACTCACAGGTATCTCCAGGTATTCCCTCACAGTATCTCTCTGGAAGTATTCCCTCACAGTATCTCTGAAAGTATATTTTACCTCGCAGTATCTCTCTGGAAGTATTCCCTCACAGTATCTCTGAAAGTATATTTTACCTCGCAAGTTAAATAAAAAAATAAATAAAAATATTAAATTCTATCTGGAAGTATTCCCTCACAGTATCTCTCTGGAAGTATTCCCTCACAGTATCTCTGAAAGTATATTTTATTTCGAAGTATCTCTCTGGAAGTATTCCCTCACAGTATCTCTGAAAGTATATTTTACCTCGCAGTATCTATCTGGAAGTATTCCCTCACAGTATCTCTCTGGAAGTATTCCCTCACAGTATCTCTGAAAGTATATTTTATTTCGCAGTATCTATCTGGAAGTATTCCCTCACAGTATCTCTCTGGAAGTATAACCTCACAGTATCTCTCAAAGTATTTACCTCGCAGTATCTCTCTGGAAGTACTCCCTCACAGTATACCTCTGCAACTCTGCAAATATTCCTTCACTCTGCAAAATTCCTTTTCACAGTATTGTTTGAAAAGGCTTGCCTCGCATAATATGTTTCCCAGTATTCCCTCAGTATATCTCACCAGTAAAATTTTCAGGTATTTCTCTCAAAACATGAAACAGCACCCAAGCAATCTATTTCATTTTTCCCTTAAAACGAAAACCGCTGTAAGTGTACATGTTCTGAAAAATATGCCTGCCTCGATATAAATTCACCAGATGAACATTATATTCCATATGGGCGTGACTTGGAGACTTTTAGCAAAACACTTGCATGCAGTTTCGTCATGTTCACGGCGCGGTTAAATCTGAAAATAAATAAGTTGGAGATTAAACTATATATAATTTCAACAAAATTTCATCTCAGATAATAGAGATGGGATCTTGTAAGAATCAGTGCACCATATGACAAACCCTCAATGAACCTTATGGGCGCATTGTCAGTGTACAAGTTACCACGTGAGAGACCTGGAGTGACCATGAGAGTCCAACCTCTTTGCATACCCCAGATGTCTCCTTGTTTTCACACATGTTCATGACAGTGAAGGCGATCTTGTGAGACTACGTGCACCACATGAGAGACCCAACTATGAGCGCGATGTGAATTTACAAGTTACCATGAGAGACTTTGAGTGATCTGGAGAGTCATTACATCTACATCTGTTTTGAGTTTGTCATTATAAGGGTTATGGGAAAATGTTTTGTGATGAATCATGCTGTGGACAGTTTCAGTGTAGCAAAGAGATTACATGAACGTGTTGTCATCAAAAATGCAAATATTGTCATTTTTCCACTGTCAAGAGCTGTTGAGAGTTCATGAAAATTGTTCTATAAATGCACTGCATGACTTAGCATTTTTACCGGAAGCATTTTCCATTTTCAATATACCCACATAGACAGAGGGTAGATTTGTTTGCCTCCCACCTCGCTTCCCGCAATGGT